TCTTCGAGGTATATAATACTCAGACTGGCAAAAGGATGGCATTAGGAGGTAAGCATCAAATCATTTGTAAGAAAATCCCCATTACACTAGTAGCAGATTTATTAGCAGAAACCTTATAGGTAAGGAGAGAATGTAGTCATAGTTCTACAAAATAAACTTGCCCACCAAGAACATTATACCCGGAAAAGCTATCTTTGAGAAATAAAGCAACATTGAAAGTCTTTCAAAGACAAGCAAAAATTGAAGGGGTTCATCAATCAGACATGCTAAGGGAGTCCTACGCTAGAGGCAAAAGAATGAAACTAGCATGATGAAAGCACGTAATGTTTTTCTAGTACAGCGCTTCCTAGTAAAGCAAATACAAAAAAGAATAAAATTTTTCTGAACATGGGAAACTACCAACTACATGATAAAAATGAAAAGATAAAAAGCACAGGATATACAAACCAAATAGAAAAAAAATCAAAATAATGTGCCTTTTTAATTTAAAAGATTTATATATTTATTTAAAAGAGTTACAGAGACAGAAGGTGAGACAGAACTTCTCTCTATTCACTTCCCAGGTGGTGGCAACAACTGGGCCTGCTTTTCCCAGGCGATTAACAGGGGACTGGATGAGAAGTGAAGCAGCTGGGACCTGACCTGCTTCCCACCTGGGATGCTGGTGTTGTGGGCAGTGACTTCAAGGGTTATGCCACACAGTCAGCCCCGGGAGTCTGTCTTTGCTTAATGACAATAACCTTGGAGATAAACAGGTTATACATTTCAAAATTCATACTTCTAGATTGAATGGATCAAGAAACAAGACCTAGCTATAGATTGCCTTCTGGAAACTCATTTCACAAGGAAAGATACATATTACTGACAGTGAGGGATGAGAAAAATATGCCATGTGAACAGAAACCCCAAACGAGCAGTGGTGACTATATCTTATAAAATTAAGACAAAAACTATGAAAAAAAATGTCACCATTTAATGGTAAGGGACGAGAGAGCTTCCACCTACTGTTTGTTCCCCAAATGCTTGCAGCGGGTAAGGCTGGGCTAGGCAAGAACTTCATCTTGTTTCCCTCTGTCGAGTTGCAGGAACATTATGACTGGAACCATCTCTATTGCTTTCCAGAGTCCATATTAGCAGGAAGCTGGTGTAATGAATCTGGATAGTCTGATGTGGAATATGGGTGTCTTAACTGTTGCGCTAAATGCCCACCCCAGCAATTATATGTATATATGCACACACCCAGTGCTGGTGCACCCAGTAATTATGCAAAGCAGACATCATGAGATCCAAAAAAGCTGAATTCTATTATAATACTAGTAGAGAATTTCAAAACTCACATTTTAATTAATGAACATATAATTCAAACAGAAACTCAAAAAGGAAACATGGGGGAGTGGTTGTTTAACCTAGCACTTAAAGACCACTGCATCTCACAACAGTTGCATCTCACAATAGATTCAATTTCTGCTTCTGCTCCCTATTCTATAGGGATTCTATAGAATGCTGGACTGTCAGCCCTTGTCTGTACAGGCAGTGTCAGGATACACTTCAGTAATAGAATGATGGACTTGTGACTGCTTATGAAGGACTATACTATTGTGATAATACGGGGAAAATCATTTGAGGGCAGGGAACTTAGGGAGGGGTTCAAGGAAATTCCAGAGCCTATGGAATTGTATCATAAAGTTAAAAATAGAAGAGGGAGAAAATAATTTAAAATGAAACAAGGTAATGATGCAATTGAAGGAGCTAGGAAAGCGTGAAAAACAATCAGACTAGGGAGGAAATAGCAAATATAAGAAAAACTCAAAGAAATGAGTGATTGGCCCTTTAAAGATAAAGTAGATAAACTTTAGCTATACTTACCAAGAAGGAAGACTCAAATAAAAATCAGAGATGAAAAAGGAAAAATTTCCAATAGCATCACAGAAATGCAACAGATCTTGTTTGTCATAAGCAAGTGGAATTTATCCCAGGGATATAGTGATGATTCCACATAGAAATTAATACATGTAATACAACGCATCAACAAAATGACAGGCAAAAATCATGTTACCATCTCAGTGGCTACACAGGAAATATTTGATACAAATAAACATCTCTTCCTGCCACAAACTATGAAAAATGAGTTATGGAAGGATTACCTCCATACAGTGAAGACCAAAAATGCAAAGTCCACAGCCAACATCTGCTGACTAGAGGAAAGCTGAAGTAATTTCCTCTAAAATCAGGAGCAAGACAAAATTGTCTACTTTTCTCTACCTTACTCAATATAGTATTGGAAGTTGGCCAAAGCAACAAGGTAAGAGAAGGAAACAGAGAACGCAGGAATAGTGAAAGAGGAGGTCAGACTGTCTATATTTGCAGATGATGCAATTGTGTATGTATAGAAAAACCTTTGGGTTATATGCACACACACACATGCACAAACAAATTGTAACAGATACGCTAAGATTACAGAGACAACCTACAGAATGGGAGAAAATATTTGCAAGCTACACATTTGACAAGGGCTTAACATCCAGAATATGTAAGAAACGCAATGATAATTAATTGTCAAAGATAACCAGTGATAAAATATCACACAGTACTGGAGGTATATACACAATTTTAGAAAGTGGAGATAATTACAATAGAAGGCAGGCAGCAGGAAACAGCTAGTGTGAGTAGGGAAAAAGACTTAAATGCTGGTGATGGAATTTAAATTCAAGTAGCTTTTATAGAAAACACTATGGGAGCGTCTAAAAAAACCTTGAAACAACTTTCATATGTCTTAGCAATCCCACTGCTGAGTATCTGAAGGTGTTTCAGAAAGTTTGTGGGGGAGACTTGCGTGGCACAGTGAGGCAAGCCACCGTTTCTGACACATCTTCCCCGTTAAAGTGCTTGTTTGAAGTCTTGGCTGCTCTGCTTCCGATCCAATTCCCTACCCTGTCGGAGTCCCCCCATTTGGATCTGGAAAGTGAACCAGTGCTGAACATGCTGCTTGGAGTGCCTACACAGTGTGTTGCATTGCTTAGATTTGTGTCCTGACTGCACTCGTTATTCAAGCTTGCTGTTAATGTGCATACCGGGAGGCAGCAGGTGATAGCTGATACTTGAGCCTGTCAACCCCTCCCTTGAGAGACCCAGATTGAGTTTCTGGCTCCTAGCTTTGGCGTTGTCCTGGCCTCCACTGTCTCAGGCACCTTGAAAATGATGTCAGTGGAGGAAGCTCTCTTTCTCCGTGTGTTTCTCTGTCTCTTTGCCTTTCAAACAACTGAACATACATATTTCTGTGCTTGTTCTTGCCCTCACTGACCCAAGGGTATTCTGATGGGTACATTTTGGTTGGCTGTTGCATGTGAGTTTTGAAAACATTGGCATTTTCTGATTCACTGTGACTTGTGATCATTGTGGCGGCAGAGATAATGGAATGACTGATAAAAATGAAGTAGGGGTGAATGGTTAAAAAAGGCTAAAATACAAATTTATTTAAAATGCTTAATTTTGCGTATTTGAGAGATATTTGACTCATACTTTCATTTTGAAGTTTGTTCAGTGAATATTTGAATTATATTTAAGCAAATTGGTAAAATGCTAGATGCATTATGACTGAAAATTTAGAATGATGCTCAAGGGTTCTCTTAGTTTAACATTTGCCTTGTCAGGGGACTAAGGGATAGGGAAAAAGTAAAATAAAATTTGCCTTATCAACACGTTCAACTTAAAAAATTGTTCCATTTTGTTGCTTCAGGTTGATAGATGAAATAAGTTAGTGGAAAAAGGCCAAAATCTAAATAGATAATTTATTGTGTGTTCTTTATTTCAGAGATTGTATCAGTTGATTTATTTTCCCCATAAATGTGAAGTCAGAAAATCTAAGGTCCTGAATAAGAAGTAATAGGTAAGTGAATACTATGATGATATTTTGACTTAATGAAGTTTTTATATTCTCATCTAATTGGCCTTAAGGCTTTAATTTCGTTTGTGAGTCACTGATTTTAGTAGTTTAACTTCTTCATTGTAGAATTATCTTTTTATTCAGAAGTACTGATAATATAGATTCTGTTACACATTTTATAGTGTAAGAGTGCCTAAAGTAATTTGATTTCAAAATATGACAAAATTATTTGTAATTCTATTTTCATTATAAAAACGTGCATTCTTTACTTAAAATAATTGCAAACATATATACATTGTGCCAGTTAATAAATTGACAATACATATAAACGCATGGGAAATTTAAAAAAATTCTGAATCCTGGGCTCACTGTTAGCTGTAATAGCTCAAAATTTTGGAAAATGATTTTTACATTCTGTCTGTTTGGGAGCTACTGTGGTATGTAACGCTGAGGCATTGGAGTTTTAAGAATGGTGCAATTAGGTAACTATTTATCAGGAAATCTCAAAACTCCAGTAAGAATTCCTCATGTTTGCTTGTTTTATGTGCTTCCCAAAAGTGTCTTGTGTTTCAGAGTTTGAATGAATTGCTTTGACTATTAGCAAATTATTTTTAAAATCTGCCTCTCTGTGAGTTAATCAGAATATGCCATGTGGTATCTTTATTAGTCATTATAATAATTAGTCGTTATTATAAATGACCCGGAGAGTTCAGATAATCTGAGGTTTTATATAGAAACATGGTGGAAAAATTAATGAGTTTCATTCAAGTATGGTCAGTATGCCATGGTAATATTTTAGAACTAGTTATTTGCACAAATTGACTATTATTTGTTACTAAATCAATTCCTAATCTGTAATAATGAATTATGAGAAAGCTGATAAGAAATATAAGCATCTGATCTTTAAATTCTGGCAAATTCTTTCATAATCTAAGGTGTTTTTATTGATTTGCTGATTGACTCAGTCAATTTCATTACTATTTTATGTAATAATACTATTATATAATTTCTAAAATATTACTATTTTAGACATAATAATAATCATCAAACCATCCTTCTCATGCCAGTAGGGAATTCTCATTTTTTGGCTCTTTTTCTTCTTTTTCCAGTTGGAGAATTCATGGATTTTCAGTATTCATAATGCAGAGAAAACAAGGCTACTGCAGCTACTGCCGGGTGCAGTACAATAATCTGGAACAGGTGAGAGCTTCCTCTTGCCGTGACGATGCTGTGATTTTTTCTTACATTGTACACAGTCCATTTATTGAACAGATTATACTAAGAATATATTAGTTGGCAGATTAAGATTCCAGGGACATGACCATGCACAAAACCACACATTTCTTTTTCCAAAGAGCTTATGCTAGTGTGATAAGACAGGAAATAAGAAGTAACATATATCTACAATGTGATATGTCTGATTGTGACACAATCTATAAGGGAAATAAAATAGCAATGAGAGTGCTGTTTTAGGTTGGGTGGGCAGGTAAGGCTTTTTTGCTGAGACAGAAGAGAGTTTGGGACAGTAATCCTAAAAGCCAGGAAGCCATGTGACTGCAAATGGGGGTGGGGAGAAGTGTGTGAAGCAGGTGTAGAATTCAAAAACGCAGGTTCTCTAAGACATTGATAAGGAATTTGAACTTTATCCCAAGTGAGATAGGAAGCCATTTTCCAGTTCTGAGAAGAGGAGTTAAATCTTATAAACTTTTCTTTGAGTGGATCCTCTGACTGTTGTGGGTAGAATCTTTGGTATGAAGACTATTTCTTCATTTATTTATTTTAAAAGATGTACTTATTTGGAAGGAAGATGGTGGTCTTCCCATCCACTGGTTCATTCCCCATGTGGCCCCCAATAGTCAGGGGTTTCAGACCAGAGCCAGGCGCTTCTTCTGGGTGTCCACATGGGTGCAAGGCCCAAGTATTTGGGCCATCATCCATGGCTTTCCAAGGCATATGAATTTATAGGGAGCTGGATCAGAAGTAGAGCAGCCAGGACTTGAACCAAAGGGGATGCCAGCCCTTAATCATTAAGCCGCAGTTCCAGCCCTATTGTTAAACACCTAAGGAGTTTCCAATTCTTTGTTATATGCCCCAATAAGCATTATATATATTTTTTGCATAAATTATCCACATTTAAGATTTTTTCCTTAGGCTCTGTTTAGAGAAATGCATTGACTATATCTAAGAGAAAGATACCTTCATGATTTTCAGATGCAAATTTTCTGCAAAATTGCTTTGTAGAAAAGGGATCATTTTCTACAATGAGTATATACATTAATGTACTTTGTGAAACTGTTGCTATACTGAATATTGCCCATTTAAAACTCTTCAGTTTCCCTTTTCTTCCTAGCATTTGTTCAGCGCTCAGCACAGAAACTTGACCAGACAGAGCAGACGTCAAATGTGTACCAGTAGCTTGATGGAGCGTTTCTTGCAGGATGTGCTGCGGCACCATCCGTATAACTATCAGGAAAACAGGTAAAGTGGCCAAGTGGAATGCTATTACTCTGTAATTCGTATTTCATTCAATAGTCATATTGTAGTTACAGAGTCTTTCAAAGTGAATTGTTAAATCAAGAAATGCAGAATGCAAATTTCAGGTAGTTATTTCCATTTGCAATTGTCAGTTTTTCTGGTCTTATGCCAATAATTATGTGTCAAAGAGGTGTTTTGTAAATATGTCATAGGATTATGCAGGGTGGGGGAAGGTGGAAACAAAAATATTTTTTAGAAGATTAGTAACAGGAAAGCTGGTGGCAAAAGCAAGGTAAGGATAGAGTGAAAACAAAGTCAATCCCTACGTTTCTGGAGCTGTTTGCTAAAACAAGTGTCATCAGCTCTCTTTATAACCTGCCAGCGTCTCAGTACCTTTCTTCATGTATAATTTTATTTTTATAACCTAAATGAAAATATATTTTGATAATATGTCAGAGTTAATATCCCATTTTAAAGAAAAATAGCTGCACAAGATGAGATTAAATAGCGTAGTGGGTTTGCCACTGCAGCCATATAAGATGGGTAAAATCCATTGGTACCAGCTGAGAGGCAAACCAGTAGTAAAAGAGGGCTAAACTTCTGCTTTGCACGTTGCTAACCTAGAATTTAGACATGGTGAAAATATTGTAATGGACAGAAAGTAGAGGCAAGATAAATAAGGTTTCTTGGCCGGCATCAAGAACAGAATTAGCCTGTCATGCAGTCAGTACAAGCTGCTGGTTTGTAACTCATGGGCAGTGCTCCAACAACTATATTTGTATAGTGCAGGTATTTCTGTGGCATTCATTCCTAGAGTTTGAACAGTTTCTAGACCTTTAAAAACTTTAAAAAAATCTTTTTGCTTTTCATTCGGAAAAATTCAGGCTTATGAAAACATTGCAAAAACTGGCACAAAGAATTCTTGGGCATTCTTTATCTGGCTGCCCCGAATATGAAATCTGCGATAAGCACCCTACAGTGATCAGCACCAGGAAAGGACTTGGACAGCACACTGTTCGCTCATCTAGAAATCCTGTGAGGTCACGTCAGTCATCCTATTTCTGGACCAGGATCCAGTCTGGGGTCACCCATTTCTAGTTGTCTTACCTTACAATTCTCTTCAATCTTGAACAGTTCCTTAGTTTTCCTTCACTTACAAGACCTTTTCAGAAAAGTACTGGGCACTTACTGTATGAGCTGTCCCTAATTTTACTAATGCCTACTATTTTCTCATGGCTTAATTCAGATGATTCATCTTGAGCAAGCCTCAGAATTGCTGTAGTGACCTCCTCAATGTATGAATTCAAAGACAGATGATTTTGCCATGACTTTGCTGGTGGTTTCAACTTGAGTCTCTTGATTAAGATGCTATCTACCAATTTATTCCTTCCTGAAGTGATGTTTATTCTGCTGTAATTGTTAAGAATCATTTGGGGAAGGACTTCCTGAGACTATGTAAATGTCCCATTCTTCATCTTTCACTCACTTAATTTAAGCATCTCTTCCAATGGATGACTAGAATTAAGTGGCATGAATATGTACAGATATTTTTGGCCTCATTATACTATTATTGATGTCAGAATCAACTTTAAATTTTTTCCAAATTAGTATTAAGTTAGTACATTTATATGGGAAAGTAAAATTAATACTTACAAGTTAAGAAAGATGAGTAGCTTGTGACTCATATATGTCACATATATACACATATTATTTTAGATATAGGAGGCTTTTTTCAGAATAAAAAAATATTTAATGAAGGTTTGTCTTTATAATTCTTACAGTCCATTTTAAAGAATACTTTCAAATCCACAGAAAAATTGAGATAGATCCTATCCCATACCATGGCTCTGCCTGGTTTCTCTGTTACTGACTTCTTGCATTAATGCAGCAGATTTGTGGGAAGCAGTGGATGTCTGCCAATGTTAATAGATTTAAGTCTGTGGGTTTATTCAGATTCCTTAGTTTTGGTGCGAATTAAGTTTTCCTGAACAAACATCCCCTAGTTTACCTCTTTTCAGTTTGAGGATCCCGTCCTGGCTGCCATGTCATGAGCATGTCGTCCTAGGCTCCTCTGGGCTGTGGCAGTTTAATCTCTTTTTAAAATCAGTCTAGACATGATGATGTTTCTCACCTTGAGCTGTAATTATTTTTTGTATTACTTTCTGCTGCTACTTGAATACTTCTTGAGTGATAACTTATCTTTGAGCTCATATCAGTACCTCATATCAGTACCTAGCATAGGATCTAGCAGTCGTATGTCCTTAGATGGAGACAATTGGTGACAGTGGTTTTTTTTTTTGCCTGTTCTGAATTATGAATTCAGGATGTGATGGTATCATTAGGTAGGCAGGTTATGTGTATGGAAGAGTTACTCCTAAAATGGTTTAGATTAAGTATGTTGTCTTGATGCTAGTATGAGAAATTTCCTAGGCTGATTTTAGATTTTTTAAAAATAATGTAGCTTAAAAGTTGAGTGGGAAAGATATACACATGCAAACATTAGCCTTCTTTATGTTCTTGCTGTAGCCATCGTGTTCTGTTCTAATCTTTCCCATCTATTTTATAGAAATGGTAGCAATGTCTAAAATCTTTGATCTTTATTAATACATGTAGACCTGCCTTACTATTTTTAGAACCCAAATTATATTTTATTAAAACAACAGCCACATGGACTCCACTCATTGGCTATTGCAAGTAAAAGGCAATGAATAGTCTTATTTGCATGAGGAAATAAGCAGAGGAGGACATTTAAAATAAAAATTTTTATGTCAGATGATATGTACATTTTTGATTTTAATAGACATTGCCAAATTGCATTTCAGAGAAATGACCAGTTTACAGAGAGATTAATTAAGGATCTTCATACACATTACCTAATCCACACTCCTATTGTCAATGTATTAAAGAACTTGTCAAAATAATGCACTCGTAGTAGCTGATATTTGTGAATGTTTGTAATGTCCTAGGCTTTATTTTCTCATTAACACTCTATAAATGACAACTGATTTTATAAGGAAAATAGTATTATCATTCCCTTTTTCCAGAAGCAGAAGCTGAAATACACAATATTAGTTATCTTGTGTTGACCTTTTTTCCTAACTTTGATAACTGAAAAATGATGCACGGTTGTGTTTGCATTTTCTTGCATTGAGAAACCAGTTGTTTTTTCAGTAGCAGCTAGTGGGACTGCCTCCAAGCTCTTGTACTGATAACCTCACTGAAGTACCTAAAATGGACAGCCTGGTGCAATTGCCTTGATTCTTTGCCCTCTAGGGATGGTCCAAAATAGAAAGACAGTGGTAGTTATTAGAGTTGTGTTTTAGCATTAAAAAAAATTGGAATGTTTTATGTGTTTTTTCCTATCTTTGTTTAGATCAGTGCAAAATGAGATACCTACGAATGCCGATGAGTCACCTGATCCTGAGCCTTCAGATGACTGCCTGCCTGAGGAAAACGCTGAGGATGCTCCTGGACCCAGCGGAGACAGACCCCCTGAGGGTTCTGATCCTGGAGAAGAGTCGAGTTCCACACCTAGTAAACCTCCGGAACGCGCGGAGGAGGTGTTGGTTCGGCCGTCAGTTATTCAGAAGCTGGAAAAGGGACAGCAGCAGTCTGTGGTGCTTGTTCCTAAAGTTGAGGGTAGTATGAAAAAGGTTAATCCAGTAGATATTGGCCAAGCTACAAATAAAGGCAAAAACTTAATTCGACACCCAGTAATTTGTAACGCTCCCGCTCGTGGTCTGCCAGAAAGTTCTTGTACTAAACCGGTTATAACTCAAACTAGGTCACCACCAGCAGGCACTTCGAATTCAGTTAACAAATGTGACCCAAACAAAGCTGACAAGCAGTCTAAACCACCAGATGGGGTCTCTAGGAATCTCATGTCATCATCCAATGTAGAAACATCTGCAGGTTCCCATGAGAAACACAAAATAGGAAAATCTTTATGTACCAATTTAGATAAATTGGTTATACAGAAGGGCACCAAACCTCAAAGTAAAATTCTGTCAGGTGGCTTTAAAGCTCTGGGTGCTGAGAGCTCTGCCAGAGCTGAGTCTCCCCCTGAGTTAGCAGGAAACCCAGCAGAGAAGCCGAGTACTGCTGACATGCCTGCTAGTGAAGGGAACACTGAAGCTGCCACCCCTAGGCAGCCAGAGGAATGCTGTTCCAGTATGGATTGTACTGAGGGAGAAAAGCATGTGGGTTCTAGCAAGTCAGTGATCTGGGGACAGAAGGGCTCCGTGAGTACTGAGATGAAGTCTGATTGTGACTCTGTGCAGTCAGCATCTGAGGCTGTACAAGACATCAGTCTGTGGAAGGAGAATGAAATTGACCAGGAAGATAAGAACAATGAATCTAGAGGTTCTGAGATGAGTCTTGATTGCGGTGCCTCTTTTCGTTCGCTGACTAATTTATCTAAAATGGCTGCCAAAGAAATAAATCTTGCAAAGGAAGTACTTGCTGATTTACAGTATCAGAATATTAAGTCTTGTATTTCTGCATTAAGTTATGGGTGTGATGACTCTCCTCAGGAGGGTACCAGCCAATCTCAAGTGATTGTTAGAGATTCACATCTTAAAAATGCAAAGTCTGTTAGCCTGGTTGACCAAAGCTATGACTCTAGTGATTCTGAAATGAATTTTGATTGTGATGCGTCCTTTCAAACAATTAGTGACTACCCCCAGCAGTCTGTGAAAGAGGAAGACCTTCCTAATGAGGTGCCCATTGTTTTGGTTGATAAGAATTATGGCTCTAGTAGCTCTGACATAAGTGATGATCTTACTCTCCCGCATCAGTTAGTGGTTGACCGTCCCCCGGTGATCGTCACAGAAACAGCACGCTGGAAGAAGGCCCATGTGCGGCTGGTTGATGAGAGCTATGGATCAACTTGTTCTGAAGCAAGTTATGATTGTGATGTTCCTCTTCAGTCAGTGGTTGATCCTCCCCAAATGACTGTCAAAGAAAAGAAACCGAAACACAAACACTCTCGCCAGAAAAAGAAGAAGAAGAAATCCAAGAAGGCGAAAAGACGACTTCCTCACGATGTGCCATTCGAGGCAGTGGCTGATGAGCCCCCGAGGGATCCTGAAGAAATCAATCTTCCGCAAGAGAAGAATGCCGACCTTATGGATATGAACTGTGAGTCTCATGATCCTGAGATGTGTTTTCATGATGATGCTCAATTAGTGGCTGACCAATCTCAAGTAGCAGTTAACGAAGTCCACCCACCAAACATAGATAATGACCTAGAGAATCAGAGTGTTCACTCTAGCATTTCTAACCTAAGTTTTGATTCTGATGCCATTTTTTATCAGTCAGTTGATGATCAGCCTCATGGGGCTTTGGGTGCAGTACATTTTAAAGAGTTAAATATTGACATGGAAGTTAAGAGCTGTGGGTCCTCCACTTCTGAGTTGACTTTTGATTCTGATACTCCCCTTCTGTCAGTTTCTAATATGAGTCAGCAGGATGTTGAAAGAATAAAAGAAGAACGCACTAACCTGGAAGATGGGAGCTGTGAGTCGAATAGTTCTGACATAACTTTTGAGTCCGATATTCCTCTTTGCTCAGTAGTTGACCAACCTGGAGTAGCTGTGTATGAGGCGAAACCTGTTGAACTGGAAAATAAAAGTAATGAGCCTTGTGTTTCTGAAATAACTCTTGATTCTGATATTCCTCTTCATTCAGGAAATGACCAACCTGAAGTAGCTGTTAAAGAAGTAATCATTCAGAAAGAAGAGTATATACACTTAGAAAGGAAGAATGATGAACCCAGTGGTTCTGAAATAAGTTTGGACTCTAATATCCCTCATCATTCAGTGATTAATTCTCCTAAAGTAGCTGTTAAAAAGCTAAGTCCTCATAAAGAAGAGCAGGTACCCTTAGAAAATAAGGAAAAGGAACATACGAATTCTGAACTAAGTTTGGGTTGTGGTACTGCTTTTCATTCTGTGACTGGACATTCTGAAGAACCCACTGAAGACTTAAACTTTCAGAAAGAAAAGCAGGCACACCCTGTACATAAATCTAATGAAGTAAGTGTTTCTGAAACACGTTTTGATTCTGTTATCCCTCTTCAGTCAGTGATTCAAAAAGCTCAAGGCGTTATTAAGGAAAAATGGCTTCAAAAAGAAAGGGCTGCTAAATTCCAAGATAGAGGTGCTGACATTCGTGGTTCTGAGATAAATTCAGGTTCTAGTGCTCCTCGTCACTTAGTGACTGAACCTCAAGAAGTTGGTAAAAAAAAGAAGAGAAAGGAGAAGCATATTGAAGAGAATGGCAGTGATAAATACAGTGGTTCTGGAGTAATTGTGAGTCCCAAAGTTTTTCCCTGGTCAGTGATCGAAAAATCTCAACTAGCTGTTCTAAAGGAGGACCGTGCAGACCCTAATGGTGAAAGCACTGAACCCAGAGGTTCTGAAGTAAATGTACATACTGATGTACCTCTTTGCTCAGTCACTAGCCGATCTCAGCTAGCCCCTCAAAATGAAAACCATGCTGATCTAAAAGATAAAAAAAACGGGCAAGCTACTGATTCTAAAATAAGTTTCAAATCTGTTGACCCCCATCAGTCATTGACTGGACAACCTCGAGAAACAGTTAAAGAAGTTGATATGTGGAATGAAGAGGATATTGACTTTAAAAACAAGATTGATGAGCCTGCTGGCTCAAAAGTAACACATGGCTCTGGTGTTTCCCACCCACCTTCAGTTGATCAACTTCCTGTGACTGTTAAACAAATAAACCGTGAGAATAAAGATGAGATGTCCTTGGAGATGAAGAAAAGCCAGAATAGTTGTTCTGAAATGAGTTCCCGTTCTACTTTCTCAGTTCCAGCAATAGTCATTCAACCTCCGATGACTCTTTTGAAGCCAGAGCACACAGAGGTGGGAGGAAAACCCAGTCAGTCTCATGGTTCTGAAATGAATTTTGAATCTGATAAACCCCATCAGTTCGTGGGTAATCACCCTATGGAAACAGTTAAAGAGGGAAGCTTCTGCACGGGTGAAGTTGGTCGGAAAGACAAGAAGGATGAAGTGAAGGGTGTTAGCGTTATATGTAGTTCTAGTGTCCTTCAGCCAGTGATTGGTCAAACTGAAGAAGTAGTTAAGGAGACCAAGATTTTGAAAGAGCAAGTTGACTTGAAAGACAAGGTTGTCAAACCTAACAATTCTGGAATAAATTTAAAATCTAACGAATCTCTTCAGTCTGTGACTAATAAAATTCAAGAGCCTATTAAGGAAACTAATCCTCTGCCTGATAAGAGCGATGAGCCTGTCAGATCCCAAATAATGTACGCTTCAAATAAGCCTATTCAGTCAGTAGTGGAGCAGCCACAGATTTTGGAAGAAGAATGTGCCAATTTGGAACTTAAAAGCAGTGATCCTTGTAGTCCTGAAACAGGTTTTGATCCCGGTGACCTTTTTCAATCAGCAGAAGACCAGTCTCAAAAAACTAACGGGGAAACAGAAACAAATCTCTGGAAGGAAGACCATATTTATCTGGAAAATATGAGCTACAAGCTAGGTGATTTTGAAATAAATTGTGATTCTGGTGTTCCCGTTCAGTTTGTTGCTGATCCATCTTCTGTATCTGCCAAAGAAATGCACTTAGAAAAGATGTATCATAACGACTTAGAAGGTAAGGACTATAGACCCTGCGGGTTTGAAATGAAATGTGACTCTCAGATTCACCTTCAGTCAGACACCTACCATCCTTCATTGGCCCATGAAGAGACAAACTTTCAGAAAGAAACGCATCTCAGCACGGAAGAGAAGCTGAGTGAACCCAGTGATTCTGGAGTGATATGTGATGCTGATGTCCCTTTTCAAATAGTAGTGAACCAAGCGTCAGACAGAGAAGCAAATCATCCCGAGGTGTTCCTTGTGGATTTGATGACCAGTGATAGTGACTGTGATTGTGAAGTGGTCTCTCATCCTCACTTGCTGCATGACCCAGTTCATATGGCTGCCAGGGAACTCAACTCTGCAAATGTAGATTCTATAAATGTAAATGATTACTGCTATGACTCTTGTGGTTCTGCTGTAAGACATGTTTGTAAAGCCCGTTTTCAGCCAGCGAAAAAGCAATCTAAGGAGAGCTTCAAAATAATAAACCGGAAGAATGATTATATTATTCTGGGAGATTTAAGCTGTCCGTCTTGTGATTCTGAAACAGACTGTGATGGTGACACTTCACCATCCATGACTTACCACTCACAAAGACCTGATAAGAAACCGGTCAGATCTAATGGTTCCAGAAGAAATTCTGCCATGAAAGGCACTTCTCAGCCTATGACTCAACAAATGCAGAGAGCTCACCAGGAAGTGAAACTTGGGAAAGATCAGAATAATGCCAACCTGATGGATCAGCAGTGTGAATCTGGCAATTGGGCAGTTGCGTGGGATGGCTCTGGTGAGTCAGTGGCCCAAGGAGTAGCTCCTGGAGAAGAACATTCGCAGTTAAAACATACCGATCTAGAAAAGAGAGGGAAATCTTGTGATTCTGAGAAGGATCGTCAACCCAGACGTTCTATTCTGCGCAAACCTGACAAGTCTCAAAAAGCTTTGGGCAAAAAAAAGCCATTTAAGAAGGTCAGATTTGACCTGAGAGAGGACTGCCATGATTCCCCATCCAACTCTTCTCCCACGGTTGGTTCTAAAAGGAAGCCAGAAAAAGCAGAAGAGGTTGTCGAAGATGATCCTGATGAGCCAGTTCTTGAAGCCTTGCCCAATATGCCTCCCTCATTTGTAGGGAAAACATGGTCTCAAATAATAAGAGAAAATGACCGTAAGGTGGATGCCCTTGTGAAGGAATTTAGGGAAGGTCGCTTCCATTGTTACTTTAATGATGATTCGGAGCCCCCCAAAGGTTGTTCGAATAAAGGAAATAAAGCCACCCAGCCTGACCTTAATCAGGATACTGCCTCACTTCAAACTCTGTCAGATGACATAGCAAGCAGTTTTTCTGGTTTTTCAGACAGCGATGACTTCTCTGTGGATTTGAATAGCCTAGGCTTTCATTATGCTCTAGCGCAGCAGTTTCCCCACCACTTGTGGCATCTGACTTGTCGATGCCGGGCAGTGAAAGTAAGCCATGCAACCCAGACCAATTTTGCAAATAACCAAGCGAACAAAAGGAAAAGTGACAGCTCAGAGGAAGAGTCACCAGAAAGGAAGCATTTTCAGGATGACAGCAACACAGCCACCATCCAAGGCAGCACTGATGAGTTTCCTGAGTCAAGTCCTACCCATTCAGATCCTACAACATCCACAGCCTTAGTCCACTCTCCTTCATCTCTAAATGCAGAATCCAAGGATAGGGAATCCTCCGAGCTTTGCAGCATGATAGCCAAGGGTTGTGATATGCCGTGTATGTGCAAGTGGGAACAGCATGCCTTTCATTGCAATGACCCCTTCCTAAAACAACCTGTAACTGATAACGATGATGATATGCAATGCTGTGCTTCAACATCTGCCATGGCAAGATATGAATTAAAGTCATACCAAAGGAACATCAAATCTTCAATTCCAAAGGCAAGTCGCTTCCAACTAACTGCCCAAGTCTTTCCCAAATCAGGCAGACGTGAATTTTCAGCAAGTAAAAAGAAAAGTCAGGGCAAGAAGGTAGCAGCTAGAAATAAGATCAGTTTTCTCCAAAAGGTTTATAAATCAGTTACTCTGCCTCAGAAAAGCAGACCAGTTTCAGCGAAACAGTCAGTTTGGATTTGGACTAAACCAAATGATATCATTAGGAAGTACATTTCGAGGTACTCCATTTTTATGCGTCGTAAATACCAATCTAGGGCCACTTTTGTTGCAATGCTTTTCAGAAAGAAGCAGTCTGTTGTGAATAGGTTAGAGAGAGAGGAGAGACATGTTGAGATGATCCTGACTGCTTCATCTCTGCCAGCCGGTGCTGAGGAGCAGTTAAGAGTCCTAGCAGGTCCTCCGAAGCAGCCTGTGACGGCTTCTCCCAGCAGGGCAGGGAGGAAGAGAAAGGGCCTCACACGTTGCCGCCGCAGAAGGAAAAAGTCCGGTATTGCTAGATCCTATGAGTTGAGAAGTGTGTGCCACATACCCGATTCTGGTAGAATGGTGACTCGGCAATCCAACAAATTGAGAACTAATGAGGTCAAACTGAAGTTTACATGTTAAAGTTAATTGACGATTCAGTACTTTAATCTAAATATATCTGGTATTTAGTACTCATAGCTTTCCCAGCTTTTTTGGGAAAACCTTGAATATTTTGCTATAGATTTTATTTTTCAGAACTTTTATATTCGTTTAAAATTAGTGTTAGGGTCCTTTTCTTTAAGATTCAAAATCAACTTCTGTCCAACATTTTTCTGTAGAAGATCTTTATCTTAATTTGTTGTTAATTTGGCAAAGTATATAGAATTTTTGTTCATCAAATCCTGTCTTATTTTTTATGACAATCATTCTCATACCAGCAAGTTATAACATTATGAGAATGAAGATAGTAAAGCTATGAATGCTTTTATTTTTAAAGATCAGAACAAACGCGTATGTACTCACATTCTGTGTTTCAGAGTGGAATTGTCAATATAGTATTCTAACTGGATGATTAAATATAAGACACTACAATGAATTAGCCTTTGGGTGAGGTTGACTTGGAAGATCATACCTAAAATATAATTTGTTCTTCTCTTTTAAAAGAAAATGTGATTTCCACGATCTTTAATCGAGTTTTTAAAAAAGTGCCTGGTGACTATATAAACACAACACAGATTCCTCCTGCTTCTTTAAACTGGGTTTACAAGTCTTTTAACTTTCCACAAACATGTGCACATACACATCTTGGTAGACTTTTCTTTAGCATCATTAGATCATAGGGGGAAAATGGTAGTTGTCGGTGCAGTTAGGTCTTTTTAAATTGTCTTTACTACCTTTTACTTGAAGGATTGTTGGTTTGATATGAAAATCCATATTATTTTATACCATTATCTCTTAAAAATGTTTTTGACATCACTGTATGCATTTTTAAGTGCTCCATCTGAAATTACTGATTTGATAAAATTATTTGAACAGCTCATTTTTTTTTTTTGCAAAGTCATGTAGTATTTCAAAAAATGGATAAAACCGAGCACCTAAGTGGAGGTTCATTTTGCAAGTGGAAAATCTTGATTTGCCTTGAACTTGTCAATTTCAATAATTCAAATAAAAGTTGTTAAGATACCCAGTTTGCATCTGGGATACTCGAAATATGTTCAGATCCTTTATTGGTAGATACTGGTTGAACTAATACAGAAGATCTCCTTACCCTGGTAAGCCAAAATCTTGGCTCTTTTTCTGTTATCAATGTTAAAGCGAAACGTGAATTTCAACTCTATTGTGTGATTAACATGTTTTATCGAAACTACAGTCAGTGTTAAGATGTATCTTGATTTCCGAGGTTAAAAAAATGTGTTACCTTAAAATTAATGAATATAGTGTAATGGTTTGCTTATAAATGTGATTTTATTTTAGGGGCCATTATTTAACCTGTGGGTGTGCTATGATGGTGTTGTGTTGTAATTTCTTCTAAATTTAAGCAGTAATTACAGTGAAAAAAAAATGAGCAAGTGCTTATATTTTTAGTTGCAAAAGAACGCATATAGCATTTCCTTCAACCATATTTTCATTTACTTAAAATATCACTGTGGGCTACTAGTCCAGAATAATCCTCCCATTTTAGTGTAAGAAGAAAGCTCTGTCCCACTGATCAGGAAGTAAACAACTAGTTCTGTAAAAATATTCTACTTGTGGTTATTGATGTCTTTTTTTCCCCCCTGTTAAATAAACCATATAATTCCCTCAGGTACCATGAGGGAACTTGAAGAAGTTCTTGGAAAACAGATTATAAGATAAGATTATTTTGGTGCAAAAACTTTTTGAGATCCAGTTTTTTCATAGTAAACATTTTCCATGACCTTTTGGAAGATCTCTTATATTAACAGACACACTGCAGTGTAGGTTTAAAAACAAGACTTCATTTGAAAATAATTCTGTAAATATCTCATGTCTGCTGTGATCCCATCACGTGCAGTTGACAGTTCCAACTATCCAAGCGATCAAGATTTAAACGTAGGAAACTGTGACAAGCTTTTTCACACTGGGAGCTCTTCTAAGTATCATTTTCAGGGTGACAGATTTATATTTATGACTTACATTATTGAAAATCTGAAATCATTACATGGGACTAATGATATTGTTTAACATGGAAATGCTATTCTAAGTTCTTATAGCCATTGTGTTAGGAAAGCTTGAAAAATTGAAAATAAGTTGGAAGGAATTACTTTCAGAGTTTGATAGTATACAGGATGTGCCCCTTTGTCTAAATAAATGTTGGTTTAATTTGCAGATTAGATAAAACAGTTGGTGTTTTTGTGTGCTCAAGAGTGCATCATATTGTTTTACTAGTAAGAAGTCAAATGATAATCATAATGAGTATTTTATTAACCTTGTCCATGTTTGGTATTTTGCATAGGTTTTTATTGTGATTGTCCTGAGTTCTAGAGTATGTGAAACAATATTGTGTAGAGTGTGTTTTTGCATTTGTGCATTTAAATTATTTATGTAACTAGGGCTCTGAGTAGCACATTTTTTTTTTTGCTTAAAGAAAAATTATATTTAAATATTCAAATAATTATATATTTCCATGTAAAACTAATGTGAAGCTTAATGTATTTTTTATAATGCGATTTAAATGGTAAACTTGTTTTTGAGGTTATCAAGATAAAGCTTATTAAATATTGAAATTTGTGTCTACGCTCTCATCGCGTGAGAAGTTTCTTTTCTGAAAATGCTCAAATAATCAGAGAACAATGAAAACTGTCGCACATTTTGCAAATGGTCTGAGAGAGAATAAGCAAATGTAAATATTGGTGTTAGTGGGAAAATAGTTGAACAAAAAGGTACAGGTTGTAATCAGTGCAGTAGTTATTTCAAACAATTAAAATGAAACAGTTGTTCATTGGTGTGGTGGCACAGGGTTGTTCTTTATGACCCTGTGCTGAAAGGAGCCATGATGGACTGAGTTCAGGAGGCAGTACCCGTGTTACTATTGGACACCTCCTGGGGGAGGGAGAACTTTGGTACCTCCTAGACCACAGTACATGCTGGAAAAGACAAGAAAGCATGGAGGAATGTATTAATTGGGGAGGGGGACTTCAAAAAACCGTGAGAAGTGCACATTTTATCTTAAAGATCTATTTTTACTTACCTGGAATGCAGAGTGACAGGGAGAGAGGTAAATTTTCCACCCTCTGGTTTACTCCCCAAATGACCTCAACAGTTGGAGTTAGGTCATTCCTGAGCCAGGAACCCCATCTCTCTCTCCCAGGTGGGTGGCAGGGACTTCATCACCTAGACCCTGATCTGCCACCTTCACATACTCATTAACAGGGAGCTGATCTGCAGCACAGCAGCCAGAACTCAAACTGGCGCTTCAGTATTAGATGCCAGCATCAGAGACTGCAGCTTAAACCACTGGATCTCAGTGCTGGCCCCACACAAAAGCTGAGAGCCATGAACACCAAGTCTCCCGTGTGGGTGGCAGAGCCCAATTCCTGACCATAACCTCTACCTTCTAAGAAGTGCATTAGCAGGAAGCTGGAGCCAGCAGCCAGAACCAGAAGTCACCAAGTTCTTTGATGTGGGATGTGGACCTCTTTTTTTTTTAATTATTTCGTTTTTGATGTTGTTTACATGGTTGACAAGAATACATGCCCCTGAGGACCACTAAATAAAATGGGGAGGGATCAAGGGATGGGGGAGGGTGGATGGGACGAATGCTTCCAATTTCCATTTTATTCCCATTTCTCCTGTATCTTGGAGGGGAGGGAATTAGTCAAGGGGGAGGGGGCTGCTTCCAGTACTCAGGGACCCAGGCTCATCAGTACCCAGGGATTGGGGATGTCCACCTGATGTCATCTTAGAAATCTTAACATGGAGAAGAATGTTCTGAAGGTATCGCTCAAGTGGCCTTGGTGGTTCTGAGACATCGTCCTTTTTTCTATTCCAAGACTGAGATAATCCTGCTAAGGTCTGTTGGCTGACCGAGTCTACCCTAGCGCATCTACCCATCCAGACACTTGCTGCCAAAGCTTGGTCAGGAGACTTGTCCAACATGTTCTACCCTCTATCTTATGTCATGGCACTCGACGTCCTCTGTAGGCCCAAATGAACTTGCCAGCATATCTCCTTTATGTACCTGGGTATTCTGTCCACTGCGTAGGCATCAGCAATCGAGGAGGCTCAGTCCCAATGCATGCATTCTAAGGTCAGACCATAAATCCTATGATTTTCTCTGTGGCTGGAGTTTTGAGTCCAGTGGTCCAGTTGGAGATTCCCCCAAGAAAATGCGCCTAGAGTAATCCCAGACTTGACTCTTGCACATGCCAGCCAATACAGGGGCTGTATAAGCCTATTCACACACTGCTAAATGTAGATGCCTGGTCAATTCCATACCCAGTCCCATGTCCCATGCAAACTAACTGGTGCTGTGGCCCTGCCCAACCCAGCATGCCACAGACCTGGCCCTTGCACACAGCAGGAACTGCAACCTAGTTGAGGGGAGCCCCAGCTCCAGTTTTTGCCAGACTAATACAGCCCCTGCCTCATCCAAATTGGGCTCTTGTATGTATGTGTGGAAGTTGCAGCTCAGCTCAACAACCCAGTTCACACATATGCTGTTAGATGCTGCTGCCTTGTCCAGCCTGGTCTGTCCCCAGCCCTGTCTCTCATGCACTCCAGCAGGAACAGCAGCCCAGCAGAGGAGTGCCCTCAGTTTCCCTAGTAGTCCCACTTCCAGTTCCAGATCTTGCATTTTCCATGGAATACTGCTGTCTAGTCTGACAGGATTTGCACTCTGTCTTGGCACTTGCTGGTAGATGCTGTGGTATAGCCTGGCCAGTTGGCACTTATCCTGGCTCTTGCATGCACCAGCAGATGTAGTGCCCTGGTTTAGCCCAGTCCTCCTCCAAACCCAGCTTGCATGCAGGCTGCAAGTTACTATAGCCCCACCCAGCCTGATCTGTCCCAAGTCCCAGCTCTCATACTCATCAGTGGGAGTAATGGTCCTGGAGAGCCCCCAGAGTAACCGCACCCCCTTCAATTTGCTCCTAGCCAGAGTGTTGTGTGTGCTGGAGGGTGCT